ATCTGTCATGCAGACTTATGCCGAGAGTAACTGTTCCCCACTTCATGTGGTTTGCCCTGTGCTGCAGAAGTGATATCAATAAGGATTATCTACAGAAATATATATATAAAAAAATTGCATGACCATTATCCTGCAACACCTTTTGATTTCTTTAGCAGTCACAAATGGTCAGTGTCTGTGTTCAGCTGCTGTCAAATGAGCACAGTCTCCCTGGCTCATTTGCCCCCCTGTGGCAGGGGGGTTGAAACTTGGTAAACCTTGAGGTCCAATCCACACCATTCTATGATTGTATGAGTGTGTGATCCTGAGACACAGATTCACTAGGGGCTCTGATGGCACAGCGCTGTAAACTGAGTGATGGGCATAGTTTTCTGAAACAACAAAATTATCCTGAAATATCTCCCATACCTGTCAGTATGGTGATAATTAGCTGTTGTTAAATGGAATGCTTTTGAGAAACAATAATGAGTTTTTACAACACCTCAGTTTCACAGAAAATAAAATTGCTGGTATGGGAATTGACACGTGTCCTTTGGATAACCTAAGCAAGAAATATTCCTTTATCAAAACTAGAGGGCAGTTTTCATTTGAACAGTTATTTCAAGCATGTTTCTAAAAGCCATGCTAGCATAACTAATTAGTAACATCATGGAGATGCCACATTCCTAAGCATTTTCTGGGGCATGACAGAAGTCTGTCCTGGCAGAGAGGAACAGTGAGGGTTCATTTGCCACGAGAGCTAACCAACTTGAAGCTTTAAAAAGCAAACCCAAACAAATCAACATGCTTCTTTTAGCCCTAATGATGCACAGCTGCCATATCCTTCTGAAGACCTCTGTTAGAAACACTGGGGATTTTTTTCTGCCATTGCTTCTGTGAGCATTTCTTGTCTTTGTAAGTGGCATTTGGACACCTATGGAGTGCTATCCTTTTTCCTCATCCCCTTGGCTGGGTGTTCCTCAGTCTATGACCTCTGGGAGATCATGTGCTACTTAGGAGGGGTTTCTGAAAGGTAAGTAAGAAAAGCAAGCCTATGAGTGTCTTAAATTCCCGTTGTGAAGGGAATTCTTGCACATCCCCAGTGCAAGAATTCTGGGGATATGCAACTTGCAAAGGTGCTGCCAGGTGTCACATATCTGGAGGTGACCTGTGAATGTGACCAGGTGGAGATTCCTGTAAACAAACCAGTTGAACATGGGGAAGTAGATGGGTTAATCCCTTCCAAAATGTTAAGGACTGCTTTAATAAGTGAATAAAAGAGTGAGACTGGACACAGAGTCCTATTGCCAAAGGTAGGCATACTTGGTCATGGCATAGAACCAATTTTATAAAATGTCTTTTTTGTATTTTGAAGATGAATAATAGGAACCACATACTTATGAGAAAGAGGTTCCCAGTGTTACCTGAACTCTTTTGCAGAGCTGGTCAGCTAAAAGGCATTATTTCTGCCTCCTGTGTGTGGCTGAGCTATGGTTTTCCCCTGTATTAATATCAAATAGAAAAGTGAAAGTGGACACCCCTAGAATACTGAGTACAACCTGAAAACAGCTGAATATAAACCACATATAAAGCTGAATATAAGCTGGATATAACAACTAAGTACAACCAAAATCATTCTGATCGGCTTCACCACTTTGGCAAACAGATGACATCTGGGTTGTTTGAGTGAAATGATGTATTTCTGAGCTGCCTTCAATAATCTCTCTGCAAGCTGACAGTTGGCTTGCAGCAGATAAAGCTCAGCAATCAGTTAATCATCAAGAAATTGGAATGAAACACCTCATGTATGTTTTAAGCTTGTACTTGTATTACTTACAAGGCTCTTGTGAATGTTCCAAGATTTTGAGTAGCTTCTACATTTACCTTTTCAGTCTTGACTTAATATGGAATGTTGTGAAGGGAATTACTTCAAAGTAGGTTTGTGGTTAACTCTGTGGGGTTGTTCCAGAGGCCTGCGGAAACCTGGATATAGAGAAAACATTAGTAATACTATTGCTTCCAGACTGAGCTCAGCTGCAGTGAGCTCTCAAGACTCTGCAAGTGGTTTTGGGAGAGCTTAACGGCCTGGCTACAGCCTGACAGCAAATATAACATTTATTAATCACATATGAGATAGAAATACACAGGCATCGTGGTACTAAACCAGCAGCATTGCCCTGAAAAGCAAAACATGAGCAGTAGAAAATAGTCAAGCTAAATGTTATAGCAGTGATCTAATTGAATTTAATGAGTAGAATAATGCCATGTATGATAAATGAGAAAGACACAGTTTGCAATACATCTTGGAAAAGCACCCATTTTACATGCTAAAAATATCTGATGCACTGATGTCATCTAAAGCATCACTGCAGGGACGAGGGGCCAGCACAGCGAAGGAATCGTGAGCTTTCATAACACACTGCTCGGCAGCATCTGCAGTCTTTGGTCAGGGCTCCTCAGAGCAATGGTGCACCTGGAGTCTTGGTCACGTGGAGTGAAAGAACAGCTTGTTCATGCCACGCTGTCTAAGGAACAGAGCTCATGGAGTGAACTGGCCTTAGTGCCATGACTATGAAGATGGAGTTTTCAGGTACACAACAAGGTAGCACATCTGAATGGAGATAGTCAAAGAACGAGAGACAGTAACAAACGATGAGCACAGATATACCCTCAGGAATATGTTCTGCGGGACAGAAGCTTTGGGCCAACTCCAACCAAGACTTGATCCAACTGTTTCAGTGATTCATGTCCCATAGAAAATGTTGCCCTGAGCCTGAGGCAAGGAGGAGTCAAAGAAATTTGCCTTCTGGAAATCAGAGAGCAAGCTGGGCTGGATCTCCTTGTGTTGCTAAAGAAAGTAAAGGAAGGAAATACTTCTTATTAGACATCAGAAGAGTTTCTTATCTCTTCAGGAAGAGAAGTCTTGAGGAAATGGATGACAATAAGTACATATTTTTCCTTTCATCCTTCAGGGAAGTACTAGTGAATGCGCTCACAGAACTGTTTCCCTGAGGCCAACATATGTACACATTTATATAGAGAGAGCAATTCTTTTTGCAGATAGTCACTTATCTTCCATGGAATGAGATGACTGTTCTGATACAGAGAGGATATACATTAAATGATACTTTGGCTTGAAGGCAAATGAGCATAGAATCAGCAGCAGTGGAACAAGGGCATCGAGTGGATACTTGTGTCACTTTTAGAAAACTTTTAGACATTTTTTAGAAGTAGAGCGTTAATTTCAAAGCTAGCCAGAGCTGTTGATCAATCTAAACCGTTCATTTGTTTTCTTTGACTATTACTTTGTTGGTTTGTCTTGAATTTTACAAACCAGAGAAGTCTCTGGATGAGGTACCATCTCAGACTAATTGCGTTATTGGCAATGCTGTCCGTCATCTGTCTTTCCCCCTTCCTTTTGTACTGACTCTAATGGAGATACAATGTCAAACCCGAGCAAGAGATTGAGGCAGGAAATAAAGAAAGGTATGAGGCTTTGTGCACGTTGCAGCTGATTGAAAGAGGCAGCTGCCACTCTTATGTGAGTGTTCAGATTAGTTTGCCGTAGAACCCACCACAGAGCATTTCCACAGCCTCTCTATTCTGTCCCGACACAAGTGTGGGCACACCTCCCCAGGCTGCTCTGCTTAGACCTGCTCAGATCCTTTCACCATCAGTTGTGAGATAATTTCCATTAAGAGAACTATGAAAAAGCGTAGGAGGGCTGTTGCCGCTTCCTCATTGCAGAGGGATTGCATTCCAGCCTGAGGTAAAGCAGAGCATGATTTCTAATCCATATCCCTCCAGCCTAGGCTTAAAAACATCCTTAAACTGATCGGCAAGCACTGAGATCTGCTCTCTGGGGACAGTGACAGCGCCCGAGGGAACTGTGTCAGCAGGGTTAGGGGGTGTAAGGGAAAGGTTCTGCACCAGAGGGTGTGGGCATGGAACAGGCTGCCCTGGGCAGTGATGTCGTCCCCAGGCTCTGGAGTTTAAACAGTGCTTTCAGACATAGGATTTGGATTTTGGGTGGTCATGTGTGAAGCCAGGAGTTGGATTTGAGGGTTTTTGTGGGTCCCTTCTAACTCGGGATACTGCATGATTCTATGAGATGGAGATGCAGCCATCAGTCAGGCTGCTCCTACACAAAAGTCACAGCAATATTCACTTTGCACTGCTTGCTGACCTTCAAAACATTTCCAGTAAGGTGCAGCCCTGATGAATTTAAGCCTATAACTGACTTCTTATCCATTGCTTGAGGTGCTCTCCGGACCTCTCAGATTTCCCAAGGCACAAGATGGCTACCAATGGAATAAACATTAACAGAGAGCCTACAAACAGGAGGGGAATCAACTCTTGGAAAGGGTAGATAACAGCAGGACAAGGGAAAATGGTTTTAAGTTGAGGAAGGGAAGATTTAGGTTGGATGTCAGGGGAAGTTCTTTACTGTGGGTGGTGAGGTGCTGGAACAGGCTGCCCAGGGAGGTTTGGATGCCCCATCCCTGGAGGTGTTCAGGGCCAGATTGGATGGGGCCCTGGGCAGCCTGGTCTGGTATTAAATGTGGAGGTTGGTGGCCCTGCATGTGGTGGGGGGGGTGGGAGATTCATGATCCTTGAGGTCCCTTCCAACCCTGGCCATTCTGTGACTCTGTGAAAAGCAGTCAATAAGGAAAACAAGAGAGGAACTTCAGAGCCCAGCATCTTTTCACGCTATTTCTCAGCCTACGTCATAGTGACAAAGACTCAGGCTAACGAGGGCAGCAGGATTTACTTCCAGCATCTATGCAGGGAGTCCACACCGCACCCATCCCTCGGGTGAGTTTGAGCACCTAAGGAAGAAATGCTCCAAGCATCCCCGCGCGGCTCTCACAGGCCGTGCTACCGGTGACAACGTCATGCTGTCACACCCCCGTCACGTGGTCACAGCCACCCGATGCGCTCCGTCGCTGCCGCCACTCCAAGCCGCTCGGGGGCGCTGTGAGGCGCGCTTGGCCTGGGCGGCCAGCGGAAGTGACGGTTTGTTTTCCTACACCACTTCCGGCGTGGAGGTGGCGGAGGAGGCCTTACCGCCATGGATATCCTGAAGCGGGAGATCAGCCGCAAGCGGCAGCAGCTGGAGGACAAGGAGCTGGTGGGGGTGAGGCGGGCGGCGGGGCTGTGGGGACGTTGAGGCCTTGTAGCGTCCTTAGGGTTATTTCAGGGTCGGAAGTAAGGCTGAAGCTGGGCAGTAGGAAAAGGTTCCTCACCGGAGGGTGTCGGGCCTTGACACGGGCTTTGCAGGGCGCTGGATCCAAGGTGCTGGAGTTCAGGAAGCGTCTGGACAACGCCCTCAGACATGAGGTTTGACTTCATGCCGCTGCTGTGTGGAGCCAGGAATTGGGCTCGGTGATCCCTCTTCCATCTGGAGATATTCTGTGGTTCTGTGACTGTGCCCGCTTTGCCTGTCTGCAATTCTCTTCCCTCTCTAGTCACAGGGAGCACTGCGGGGACTGTACAGTGTGTGTGTGCTTTTGGGGTTGTCTGAGCATGGATTTCATTGATGGTGGTTGTTTTGGGTTAGACAGATGAAAAATAGAGAACCAGGAATCCATGTTCATAAATTCACAGAATTATTTGACTGAGTTGGAAGGGAAAAGATTATCCAGATCTAACCCCTACCATGGGCTGATTGCCAGCTTCCTGCTCAGGCTGCCCAGGGCCCCTTCCAACTTGGCCTTGAGCACTTCCAGGGATGGGACACCCTCAGCTTCCCTGGGCAGCTTTGCCATGGCCTCACCACCCTCAGAGTGAAGGATCTTTTTCCTAATATCTAATATAAATCAACCCTTTTTTTAGTTTAATACTATTAGCCCTTGGCCTTGATGTTAGAGCAAGGGAAATGGTTTAGGGTGGTGTTTTGGGATTTGGATGATCTGCGTGATCTGCAACGAAAATGTATTGATGAAACACAGATTGGGAGACTTTACGTTTACTTCAGTTTGCTTCTTTTGTCAGTTTGAGAGCAGTGTGAGTGAAGATGTGGCTTCTCATCACAGTGTGACGGCACAGATCACAGGCAGTGAGAACCTGCTTGAAAAGGCTTGGATGGCACAGTCACCAGCTGCTGTATGCCTGAAGGGTCTTATTAAGCATCTTTTATTTAGTTTGAAAAAGCTTGTTTTGTCTGATATGTTTAAAACAATCTTCATTGTTCACATCTGAAGGAAGCTTTCTGCTAACTGGTGCCATGACCTTACATGTCAAAGAGAATGTTGATTTTAAAGGCCTGCTGAACACACTGTACTTTCAAGCTTACATGTTGCAAAGTCACTTGGTGATGCTGATTTTCAGAGGTACTCCCAACTTTGAATGTGGCACAGTAGCCATGTCTGTGAAGAGATGTAGCTGAATTCACCAAATCAAGTAAGGAGATGTGAGCCTTTTCTGCAGAAGTATTTGAAATTTTAAAATGTTAACAGTTTTCCTGTCTCTTAGGGAAATAAGAAATACTTCAAACGCAGTGAATTAGCTAAAAAAGAAGAGGAGGCCTACTTCCAGAGATGTGGCTACAAGGTATTGTTACTCTTCTTTCAGGAACTTGTATGTTTGCTTTGAAGTCTACGTTTTATTATCAACAGTACAAATGTTGTTAATGATAATTATTGTTCTTTGTTCAATCTGTTGATGTTGTACATAAGCCTGTAAATGAGAAGCCACCTGGAGAGGTATGAGTTTCCAAAACCATTTTCAATGCAGGAAAAGATATGCATGATATACAGCTACTTACGTTTGCGTTATGCTTTGGCTTTTCCTTTTTCTTTGTTTGTTTACTTATTTTGTGGAAAGCATGAAGTGGCTTGGGATCAAAGCTTGTCTCCTTTCTTTTCAGATTGTGCTTTTAGGCATGAACATTGGATCTGATATGGCCACCTCCCAAGAATGGATGCACTGTCCATTCAAAATTTTGCCAAAATGTCCAGAAGAAATCAGTATAATGTGGTGGATATTATAAAGATCTGCCAGCTGTCATGCTGTGTGTATTTCTTCTTTTGGCCGTCAGTAACTTTGCACTGAAAGAGTGCAACACAGCATTTGTTATCTTGCTGGCAGAACGATTGAAAACGATTGGTAACTGAAGGTGCATTTGGAAACAAATGAGTGATCTGGAAGGCTTTGCCTGCCTTGTAACATATCAGGGAAATTGTTTCCTGAAATGGAAAGAATGCAGTTTTCTTTGCCATGTGTGTGTATGTGCCTGCCTGCCTGCCTGTTACTGTATGTGTATGTGAGGGGATATGCATTCTCTTTAGAAAGACAGAGATTCACATTCCTGTTTACTGTCCTTGGGCACAAACTGGAACTTTGTTTTCAGTTGAACTTTACACATCCAGTGACTTATTCTGAAACCTTGATCTGTGTGTGAAATATTTGAACATCAATGCCAAAATAATTTTTGGAATGCTGTCGTTTAGTCATGGGAACATGGTCTGTGGACCACTTCTGAGTGGAAGTGACTGCCTGGTGCTTTTTTTAGCCTGACTTCTTCAGAACCATACACAGCTGTTAAAATGGGATATCTGTGCTGCTACAAAATGGGTTTTGACTGAAAATGTAACCCTGAAAATGGTTTTAAAATAAGTTGCTTTGTTGGGTATGTCTTAGAGCCTCCCAGATTTCTGCATTTGGTCTTTACTGCATTAATAAGATGTAAAATACAGACTGATTTCTTTTTCAATAGAGGTGCTCTTTTGCTTTGTTAGATTTAATAATTATTTCACTTGCTTGAAAAAGAAAGCATTGAAATCAAAATAACTGTGGTAAAAGTATCATTTGTAACTTGAAATCCTACTGAGAGAATGGACCAAATCTTTTTCCCTAATGCTGCAGTCTCTTTATGTTTGTAAGTTCAAATTTGTACACATCCTTCTGCCATCAGAGTGTATTTATATTTACACAGTTCCATATTTTCTCTCCCATGTTCCATATTTTCTGCTCCCTCTCCTGCACTTATGGAAGTTTATTTTTGCCCTCCCTTTATGTGTAAAGCATTGATTTGATCGTCCTTTCCTTGCTTGCTCCAAATACCTGCAACTGTAGGATTGAGTTCTGTGTTTGATAGCATGACATTGCATAGAGATTGTGGCTGAATCTTATATCTGCAGCCATCGGGGGGATCCCTGTCTGTGCATGGAATGATGCTGGCTTGGAAGAACATAAACTAGTTTTAAAAATCTGTTTAGCATAATCACCAAACTCTTCAACCTGCACACACACTGGAAATGACAGCATCCTGTCCCACGTGGGAAGAATGCTGCAGTGTAGGATTAAATAGGATTATTCCCTTTTTGGAAGAATAGAAAGGAAATAAGTTCTGATCTGGAGTCTAGGAAAAAACATGATGTGTTTGAGCACTGGAAATGTTTCCTGTTATAGGAATGTTAGCCAACATCTGTTCCTGCTAGTAGAAGTGAGGGAGCCATAGTTATGTGACTGCTGTCTGAAAGTTAGTTTAATCAAAGAGGACTCTGCTTGGTCCCAGGACCTTCTTCTAAGAAGCTGTTAAAGAGATGCTGTCTTTTTGGGAAAGTGTAGTTCTCTCTTTTCTTTTTTAATTTATTTTAACCTGCAAGAAACTGTACACATTTGGCAATCTTGATAAGAAGGTATGTTACTTTAAACAAGCATCTCTCAAAACCCAGCAGAAAGGCTGCATCCTCACTGATGGTGCTGAGCTCACTGAAGTTCTAAGTGACAGAAGATCTCAAGCTGGCTGCAAGTAGCAGCTCCCTTCTCTCTCTGCTCTTAGCTTTTCATTTCTGCCCTTGTACCCATGTGTGTATTTGTGCTACTGCCTGGTGAGCTGGATGAGGAGATTAAGTGGGCTGAGAGGAGTCCTTTAGTTTTGTTTGCTGGATTATTTCCCATTTGAATAATTTCTCCCATCTGATTCATCACATAGTGATGCAAATACTTTTGCATAGGTAAAGAGGGTAAGGTAGGGGCAGGAACCAACAGGCAGGCTGTGAGTTTGCTGTTTTTGGCACCAGTGCTGACACGTGATTGACAAACCTTAACAATTGCCCTTTCCAGTTGCAGGTTGCTTCCTGCAACCTACAGAAGTCAGTCTCTGGTAAATATTGATGCTTTTGAAAGCTTTTATTGCTCTGTGAAATGGACAACAAAAACTCTGAAACAAAGATTTATAGTCATATTACAATCTGTATTCCACAGTTTCTGTACGTTTACACAGTTATGGAGGTGTAAGTTTATTTTGCTGATGAGTAACTATGTCTGTTATATGTAGGTGCAGCAGCAAGAAGAAGAAGAGAAGCCTCTGACTTCAACAAATCCAGTGCTGGAACTTGAACTGGCGGAAGAAAAATTACCAATGACTCTTTCCAGACAAGAGGTAAAATCAACAGCTATAAGCAAACTACTTCAGTTTGCAGAACATGCATCTGAAATTTCTTGGTAGGACTGTTTTCTGGTGATCTGTACTTTTTACAACAGGTTGTATCAAACAAAAATTTCCACTGTGCAATCAACAATTAGGGGCAGTATTTACTCATCAGGAATCTTCTGTCCATGTGAATGCATCTGGAGGTACAGATGGATGGAGCCTTTTTGTCATGTAATTTGCACATAGGTGATATGATGTATTACAGCTTTTTCAGATGACCCCTAGAACAGTGTTCTGTTACTTGGATAATGCTGACAATGGCACATGGAGCTTGTCAAATCTTTATTTCCCTCAGCTTCTCTTCTTTGTAGCTTTTTGATATGAAACCAATTTTCAGAACTGAATTTAGGAAACTTGTCTTGATCTCTGGGGGGGGGGAAATGTCCTGAAGCTGGAGCAAGTGATGCATTCTTTGTCCTTTTTGAAGATAAGTAAACCCATGTGAATGTGAGTTCGTAAAACAGATCTGGACAACAAAGCAGCAGAGAAGTAGGAAGTTCAGAAATAAAGTCTACATGCAGAATAAAATCTAATCCTGGAAATACTGCAGTTCACAGCTGAGATCATTCAGGATGATGTTATTGTTGTCCCTTTACTTTTACAAAACACTTTGAGCACAGAATTTTTAATGTGGGTTATTGGTTTCTTGTTTGCTTTGAGATTTGGTTGGTTTGTCCTGTCAGTGTAGTTAGTTACATGATGGTGTGAGATGAAGTGCAAGCTCTTCTCTTTATCACCAGAGTGTTTCATGGTGATTGTATCAGCTTATTGCGTGATACACCAAACAAACAATGGTAAGAATAAACAGATTTAACAAGCAATGCATGCAATAAGAAACTGGGAAATAAAGTTTGCTTTTCTGCTTTGCCCATAACCTTGCAAATCAGCCAAGGGAGGCTGTTACACCTCAGTTGTAGCTAGCCTTAAAATTATTATCACGTTAGATTATGGGACTTAGTGTTTACCAAATGGTAAGGATGGGAGACTGGCTGGAAATTCTCAAATGTGCTGGGACAACATGCAGCCCAGTCAGAAGAGTACTTTGTTGCCCATGACAAATGAGAGTGAGTGAGAGAATTGTCAGGTTTCTTTTGTCGCTTTGGAAATGGTATTTAAGCTCTGCCAAGGGGATGATTTTGATGTATTTGTTTAAACAAGTCAGAGCAGGAAGAAGTTGGGATATATGAAACAGTTTGGGGTTTGTGCAAGATTTAGGTTGGTAATATTTGGAATGACCTTTCATTGAAATGCCGTGGGAATTTTATATTTGGATTGTAAAGCGTCTAGAACGTTTTTCTGCTGCTTAAAATATTGCCATTTCCTCTCCAGTCTAGCACAGCTTGTTATTTTAAGCTAAGCAAATAAATCCAGCCTTCAGGATTTTATTTTCCTTCCTTTATGAGTTTGTGTAAGGGAATATTTGGATTCTTTTCAGGTTATCAGGAGGTTACGGGAGAGAGGTGAGCCGGTCAGGCTGTTTGGAGAAACAGATTATGATGCATTTCAACGTCTGAGGAAGATAGAAATTTTGGCACCTGAAGTGAACAAGGTGAGACCAGCTGGCTCCTGGTTACTAATTTATGGTGGGGGAACCTGTGAGGAGTGCTTTTAATGTTCTGTGCATGATTACAGCCCTATAAGTCAGCCAGTTTCACCACAGAAACCTTTAAAGCCTTTTTGCTTGAAAAAGAGGGCCTCCAGGTGGCAGTGAAACCCAGACATGCAGTTGCCTGTATTGTAACCAGCAGAAAAGACAGTAATTTACTGTTAAAACTAGTCTGTTTGGGTAGGTAAGGAAGAGGGAGGAATGCATCCTGTGTTTCTGGTACATAAATGAATTTTCAAATCCCTCAATTCTAGTTTCTTACAGAAACTTCACTCCCACTGCTCCCTTTTGAAGTAGTCATTGACTCCAGAAATGACTAAAACATATATGTTGTAGTTTTCTGATCTAATCCTTCTGGCTTAACTTTGATCGATTAAGTGAGGAGATTGGGAATTTGTTGGGATATGTTGGGATTTGCAATTGGGATTTGTTTTGTATTTACTATTGATCAAATTTGCAACCCAGCTAACAGTACGAAGCTGTGAATTTTCTTCCATAACTTGTAACAAACTGAATAATTTGACAAATTGTTGCTGGGGCTGCCCAAAAAAAGAACGCTTTTTCCTCTTCAAGTCCTTTAAAGAAGGATAAACAGATACGAGTTTCTAAAATTAATTTTGCTGACAAAAGTTTCCTCCCTCACATTGTTATGTATGGTAAAATTATTGATGGCAGTTGTAGAAGTTTTAGGAAGTAGCAAGGTCATAAATAGGATTGTGATGGATTTCTGCATGATATGCTTCAGTCACTGCCATTGTTAGGTGTTACTTGAAAGTATGGATAATTGTTACAACCAATTTGTGGTTCAGATATTTTTAAACTAAGTTTAAAAATAAGTGATTGATAAAAATGTGCCAGAAAGTCATGGATGATGATGGAAGAGTGGAAATAACTGTGCATGTGTATTCTGAGTGGAGAGACTGAGTTGATCTTAGGGTGAGAAATGTCATTCTCCTTTATAGAGCTTTAAATTTTGTATTTCATATTAAGAATGTGGATCCTTTAAGCCAGGTTTCTTTTTCCATTTATAAGCAGCTCTTAACTTCTTGTATCAGTTTGAAACCATATGTGTAACATCATGTTTTTGTAAATTTGGCTTTTCTTAAAAACAGAAATTGGATGCTCACTGTGACTATTCTGAATTGGTTGTATTTTTTGTGGCTTTTTT